TTAAAATATAAGCAAGAATCTAATTTTAGGATAATGTAATATTCTTCAAAGAACTATAACCAAAGAAAGTACAAAAGGTCTTACAAAACTTTAAAAAAAGAGATATGAAAAAAAATAGATGTCAAAATATAGTAAACTTAGATCTGACAAAAATAAAAGAATAAAAATCTGGATAGTTATTCAAAAAGAGAGTTAGCAAATAGTGTGAAAAAAACTAATTCAAGAAAATAGTTAAGATATAGCCATGATTTGTCACTTCAAGCATCAAGAAACAGAAGATAGTTTAAAAACAATTCTCATCAAATATTCAGGATGCTTTTTAAATAATATAAATAGAAATGAATATAATATAGAAGTAAAATTAGATATAATCTATACTATGCTATTTTAAAGCTATCAAAAAAATATCAGAAGAGTACAATTATTGAAATTCTCTATTCTTTACTTGAGCTTGATAAGATAATAATAATAAATATAGTTCCAAAAACTTAAGATCCAAGAAATGGTTAAATTAAAAGAATAAAAAAGTACTAATAGAAAACTGGAAATAAGAAATATTTAAAGACAATCTTAAGCAAGAAATATATTAAGATTACCTACTTAAAATTCATTAATATAATTAAAGATTACAGAAGAAGCTAACTTTCTATTTTGATAGATCTTTGATTGATCATGGGAATGAAAATGTAAGAATAGGATAGTATGAATACAAATTGAAAGAGCTAGAAAAGAAAGTAAATTTCAGATTAGAGTAAAAAATTGGTTCCCATTCACAAGAGTAGAATTGATAGTACTAATTACAATAGTTTTAGTAATTTCAATAGATAGTATGGTAGATATCTTTTTAATAGTCAAGTTTGTATCTCCAAATGAAAAAGCTCAAGAAAGAAGACTTCAAGATGATATACAAAAGATAATTAAAAGAAAAGAATTGATCATTATGAATAAAAATACTAGATCTTATAAAAAAAAGCATATTTAATTGATTTTAACCAAAGTTAAAATCCACTCTAATGATCTATAAAATAAAGAAGTAGACTGATTGATCATAAAGATATCAAAGCTTTCAGCAATAAAGTAAAATAGTTTCAAATCAAACAAGATTTCTATTGAAATATTGTAATAAAAGAATATAATAAATAGTCTAATCTGATAGTTTATCAAACAAATTAATAAGAAATTAACTACTTTATTATAGATACAACAATATATAATAGAAGGCAAAATGACACTATCAAGTTCAAGAACATCAAACTTATTTATGAAACTTGACATAAAATAAATTAAAGGATAGTAATATAAGGATACTTTCTTCAAAAATTCACAAAAAAATTTTTTTTGATTAAATTGATTAATAATAAATTATTTATTTTAAGTAAATTAGCAATAAGAAGATTTGACTTATACAAGTAAGTAATATATATAGCATATAATTTGCAAAAAGAGATAATTGAATATCTACTAAAATATTTTGATTACAAAAACAAGATCTTACCAGTATAGCAAAAAGGATTTGAAATAGTTTTTAAAGAATTTAATAAGTTGTATCAAGGTAGAAAAAAGGAAGAAGATGAAAAAAAAGTATAATTATTAATTGATAATAGAAAAGAGAAAGATAAAATAAACAGATGTGCCTTTAGATTTATAGAAATAGTTTCAGAAACTGGTTCAAGTATGCATAGCTTTTGTGCAGAATTAGTAGAAAGCAATTTGATTAAAAAAGTTATTAATCCAAATTTTTATAGTAAGAAATTAGGAACAATATTAAAAAATGAATCCTAAGAATACAAAAGAAGGTTTGCAATCAGATCCATAAACAAGTTTGAATATAAGATTCAAAAAGATCATATAATGGAAACAAGAGTAAAAAATCAATATAAGAGTAAAATATAAAAAGGTTCAGGAAATAAAAAGGCAAGATACTTTGCAAGATAATTCCAATTATGAAACTACAAGACAAAGAGAAGAAGAAAAAGATGTTGAAAACAAAAATCTTATAGAAATCATAAGAAATAGAATTAAATATGAGATAAAATGGTTGAGTTTTGATTTTTGTCCAAACTTAAAGAAGTGATTTATAATAATAATCTGTAGATGATGATATTAGAAATTGGAAGGGTTTCCATCTAAATTATTAATGGAGTGATAAATTACTTCCAAAGTTGTACTTAGAGTTTTGAATAAAAACTTTGATAAGTAAGTTAGTTAGAGATTTAGCTTTAGCATCATATATTAATGTATAGCTTACAATTGTTTAATAAAGTATATATAACTAGCCTAACAGAGGGTTTAAAAAAATAATAATAATTCCAAACTAAATTATTTATCAAATTTATCATTAATTTTTAAAAAATTTATTGAATAATTTTAGTATATTTTTTTATCAATAAAAATATTTTTAAAAGATGATATTATAAATCAAATTTGTTATTCTATTTTTTTATGCAAAATATCAAAATATAAATTTATAAATTTTAATTCTTAAAATTATAGTATATTAATTGATAAAAGGTTTTATCAATTATATTGAAAAAAAAAAATTCATTAAATTTTACATGCATATACTGTATATTAAAAGTATATTTTATATCAAACTTTAATGATTGTATGTTGTGGGATTTAAATATTTAAATTTTTAATCATAATTAATTTAAATCGATAATTTTTATTTGTTATTAATTTGATTTTAGTAAATTTCTTTCTGTAATGGTTTCTAACTTATTTTAATAAAGTGTTTTTTGTTTTTTAATTAAGTTAAATTATATATATTTTAATACCAATTTTTTATAAAGTTTTTATCATTATTTCTGGTTTATTGGGTTTAGTCTTTGAGATTTCTTTCGATACGTGGAAAAAAGGTTTTATTGAAAAAGAAAATAATGTTTAACATTGTATAAACAAAGGGTTTGTTATGCATATCATCTCACCGCGCGATTAATGTGTCACGATCATATTTCGTCGCAAGATCTCCTGTTGTGCCATGTAGTTGAATAGTTGTAGTGCATGCCTATCGTGTTATAGGTTTAGACACATACACATACAGTATTTGTAATTAAAAAATATTTGTTTTCAAAATTTGACTATTCAAGAATGTGGATTATGTAATGTTTTTTTGTTTTCCAACCCACAACAGGCAGACTGGTTCCATTGATTAGTTTAACATTTGTAAATATTTACACCGTAGCCCGCGTGCATTAATCAGAATTCATATTCCAATTACAAAGGCATTCAGATGAAAGAGTTTATCAAGATCGAAAGGTTGAAATCCCTGTTTCAAGTTGGAAATGAGGCGTCAGCATATTCGTCGACCAAAGATTCGCATATGAGACAGATTTTTAAGGCCATCTGCAGTTGATTTTTTTTTTTAACAATTAACTGTCTTTATGATCACTAATCGATGTTCGATACTTGTAAAGACTGGATAATCACTCGGAATAGTCCGTGACACCAATTCAAACATACGTACAATAAAGAATGCATGCATTGTTGCGTGGTGCATCTCGTTCCCCGTGTACGCTGTATCATTGCCATACGGAAATCAATTTTTAATCCGGAGGCGGGATGAAAAAAAAACAAAAGCACAAGCATTCTTGCGCGCACGCACGCATCAAAGAGACTATTGAGGCTTGGCCAAAGTAACGCTCGAATAATTTTAATCTAAAGATATGCATACATCTCCGCGACACTCGTCTTTTTCATGTCGAATGATACTGCATATAAAATAAAATAAAATAACTAAAGGATATCAAATTACCTTCTTTAAAATTCACCTAGGATCTCGAGTGCGATGATCACATTGTGCCCAAGATAATTCTCGGAAGATGATTAATCCTAAGCATGTGTTCAGTCAAATTCGTGCTGTAGTTAAGTCAAGGTTACTAGGAATTCATTAAGAGAAAATTATCTTACTGGTCTTCCCCCATGATTCCCCTTTCGTAATAGAATTAACGTTTAAGTCGTACAACTAGATCTTCATAATATTGAGTCGAAAAAAATGAATGATTTGTTCCAGTAAAAGCAAACTGGCGATGAAGCCCTTATTCTTTAAAAAATTTTGGTCAAAATGAAACACGAATATATTTGAAATATATTGCGACCGGCACCGCCCAAAACATTCCATTTCGCAGCTCGAGTCCCTGGATGCCGAGGATTTTTTTTTTTTTTTTCCTGAAAACAGAAAACATCGCATGCAAAATGATCTCTTCCCTAGGGTTAAAATAAAGTTGCACGATTGTATTGTTTACGTTTTAAATTTAAAATTAAAAAACTCGAATAGGAAATTATTTATAATTCAGTTCCCTATCCGGTGATGGTGTGAAAATCTCTGTTGACAGGGATTTAAAAATTCATGCATTAAGAAATGACAATGCCAATCGAATTTCTCTTCCAAATAATTTAGCCGATTTTACGTATCACGGATTCTCGTTTTTGTAAATTCTAGTGCGCCATCGTATCGTCCCACAAGGCCTCGGACGGACTTTCGGACACATCCACTTGTGATTAAATTAATTTGATCACAAATACAGTAGTATCCTCTCTTCTACCTACATAAATAAAAAAAAAAGAAAAAAAGAAAAAAAAAAGAAAAGAAAAAATGGAACTCTGTAACCATCATTTTGTTGATGCTTATTAAAATCTGCCTTGTTTTTTGTTTATTAAATCCGCTTCCGCTAATTTCGCGGCTACATGTAAAAATTAATCTCAAACTACCCATTTATTTAATTTAATTTATTTTTTCTTACGTTCACTTCTCTCTCTTTCCACCTGAATTTATTTTTAATCACGTTTTTTTCCTAAAATCCACTCCTACCCATCGGATCTTCTTTCTCACTTCTTCATTTATGATAAAGCCTGAAGATCCTTGCATGTGTCTCCTTCGTAATTGTTGTTGATTCATTAAATCACCTTGATTCAAACGGCAACGCACATCTTTTTTTTTTCCCGACAAATCACAAATCAACGGCGATAATATATTACATATCTTATATATAATATTGATAATGAGCGGAGTGGAATCATCATCATTAAGTTATGAGGAAGACTCTCTTCCTGATTACTACATCGATATCCCCTCTCTCGACGTGAAACGACGCAAGACACTTTCTGCAGTGGACAATGCAGACTTTTCTTTTTTTCACATTCGTGCGTGTGTCGTATCGGGAATTGGATTCTTTACCGACGCGTACGACTTATTTGTAATAAATTTGGTATCAACCATGTTGGGATATACATATTTTTCAGAAAGCAATTATCAAGTTCCCACGGCCATCGATACCGGATTGAAAATATCGGCAGCATGTGGAACTCTCGTGGGTATGAAAAACAAACAATTCGACGGTTGAGCATCGAAGATCTTGTTTCTTCTAACAAATATTTTCACCAAAAACTTTAGGACAACTCATTTTTGGCTGGTGTGCAGATAAATATGGCCGTAAAAAAGTATTTATACTTTTTTTTTTTAAAAAAAAAAATAAAGTTTTGTTATATTAATAATTGGAATTCGTTCAGTTAACCTGAGATCTCGTGTAGATATATGGGTTGGAACTTGCAATAATGATATCCGCAACGATTGGTTCCTCGCTGTGCGCCGATTCCTTTTCCATTT